GACACTTAAATGGTCCTACAGAAAATGCACACAGCCCTAAGCATCAGATTCATTTCTGGCAGAAGGATGTACACTCTTCCCCACACAGTGGAACACCTCACGTTCAAGCATTCAAACCCCTAAAGACGGCTGGAGACAAGCCCCTAAAAAGTCACATGAGAAGGAGTTAACAGCTATGAGGCCTTTTCTTCTCATGCACAAGGATAGGTGAAGAGTTGAAAAGAAATTATAGGTGTACTTAACCTTGTTCTCATGGGTCATTATTAGCACATTCTCATTTAGAATTCACAGACTATCTTGTGGTCCAGGAACCCCAAATCTCTCATTACCCTTCACCACATGCCTGAAGTCAGACAGAATTTCCATTTCAGAGAAAAATTAGGGTAAACAAAAATCAAGATGATCCCTAAGCAACACTGTCTGTCAGCAAAAAAGAGCCCCAAATGGACCAAATACTATGCCTCCAGGATAAAAATAAATATCCCTAATTTCAGCAATGACCACACACACACATAATCATTTTATGTCACTAAATTACCAGGAAAGCCACACTGATTTTTTTTTTCTTTCTGATTTAGAGGAATCACTCAGGATGAAGACAAGATCACCTACCCATGGCCCCCGACTAATGCTTCACATTCTGGCCAAACGTGAATGTGACAGGCCTCTACCTCTCTAGTGCCAAAGGACAGCGCTGGTGGGCTCTGTGAGGACAGCTACAACTGGCCCCTTTCTCTTTTAAATATGAGAATTATTCATGTTTAAAAAAAAAACCACATATTTAAAAATATCTCTTAATTTTTGTTACTATTAGGGAGGAGAAGCCGAAACTGTTGTTTATGATAACAAATTTCAAATCAACACAGGTTGCCTCAATGTCCAGAACTTGGTCAACAGGCCCAGTTTCCATGTAAACACTGGTAATAACAATGGATTCTCTGTTTCTATTTAAAAAAAAAAAAAAAACGTTTATTTATTTTTGAGAGAGAGACAGAGAGACAGAGCACAAGTGGGGGAGGGGCAGAGACAGAGGGAGATACAGAATCCGAAGCAGGCTCCAGGCTCCGAGCTGTCAGCACAGAGCCTGACATGGGGCTCGAACTCACAAACTGTGAGATCATGACCTGAGCCAAAGGCAGATGCTCAACCGACTGAGCCACCCAGGCTCCCCATGTTTTTTCTATTTTTTAAACAACAAATTGAGGAGACAAAAATCAAAGGACCAACAGCAACAAGTAGCCTCTGAGGAACAAATCTACACCAGGAAACTAGAACATGATCAACCAGGAAAATAAGCAGCTGAGTGAATGTCAATAAAGAGAAGTCCAAAAATGGATGACACAACACGAAAAACTCTCCCATACCAACTTTTACACTGGATATACATAAACACTATAAGAACCTAAGACAAGCAAAGACATCCTACAACAAAGGTTTTCAATGCTCATGGTGATTAAAATAATATTTACTTCCAAGCAGCCAAGGCTGCAGGATAAGTTTCAAATAAGGAACAGCATAGTCGCTTACCAACATCATGCACACCAAGGAGAGAGGGAGGTTTGTCTGCTATTAACGGGAATCCTAGGAACAAATGTATGTCAAGCATTTTAGGTGAATAAAAAAAAAAAATGGCCTTTCCTTGGTACACTCAAGCATATGTGTTCACTGAGTTAGCAAACATTTGTGGGCACTTGATATGAGCAAGACACGCACTGTGATTGATGTTCTGGTCAGCATACCTGCCATGGAGCCTATGGGCAAGGAGAGGAGTGTAGCTAATAACCAAGGTGCAATTTAAAATGAGAATTAATAGGGGTGGCTGGGTGGCTTAGTCGGTTAAACAACCAACTCTTGATTTCAGTTCAGGTCATGATCTCACACTTCATGAGATCAAGCCCCACATCAGGACTGTGCTGACAGCTTGGAGTCTGCTTAGTATTCTCTCTCTCCCTCTCTCTCTGCCTGCATGCGCACTCTCTCTTTCTCTCTCCCTCTCTCTCAAAATGGATAAACTTTAAAATGAGAATTGTAACATGAAAACAGCAGACTTGATGAAGCTAGAGAGCAAGAATAACATTACTATGGGCCACTCTTTTTTTTTTTTAATTTTTTTAATGTTTATTTATTTTTGAGAGAGACAGACAGACAGACACAGACAGAGTGTGAGCTGGGGAAGGGGCAGAGAGGGGGAGATACAGAATCCGGAGTAGGCTCCAGGCTTTGGGCTGTCAGCACAGAGCCTGACGTGGGGCCCGGACTCACAAGCCGTGAGATCATGACACAAGCCCAAGTCGGACACCAAACGACTGAGCCACCCAGGCGCCCCACACTCTCTTTTCTATACGATGTTTAAAGAACTAACATATTCTCCCTTTACACTTCTCTGACTCCAAGATGGGCAGCCACTTTCCACCTGAAGGGATGGATGACAAAACAAGCCTGAGAGTTAAGTCTAAAACCCAGAAATAAGTAAATGGCAGAAGACATGCTTGAAATATCACAGGTCCCCAAACTCTAGCTGCTTACTGTTTACGATACATGCAAAATGGGATGTGGAATGCAAAGAACACTAACATGTAATAGATAACTTAAATATTTTTTTAAAAGAAAGAAAATAGGGGCGCCTGGGTGGCGCAGTCGGTTAAGCATCCGACTTCAGCCAGGTCATGATCTCGTGGTCCGTGAGTTCGAGCCCCGCGTCAGGCTCTGGTGGCTCAGAGCCTGGAGCCTGTCACTTCTGTGTCTCCCTCTCTCTGCCCCTCAGCCTGCTTCATGCTCTTCTCTCTCTGCCCAAAAAAATAAATAAATAAAAAAAAAAAAAAAAAAAAGAAAATAAAGCCAGAGCCTGGAGAGTTTCTTCACTTTTCCCAAATGACAGACTCTCAAAGGAAAGCATATGTTAGTGAGGAAAGTAGACAGAGTGAGAACTATAGGTGGTTGACTTGAGCTGGAGTTTAGAATGTGAGGCTGGATGTTGAAAGGGTGCCATGAATTCGAGGCTAAGGAGGTTGGCCTCATTTGATAGGAACTTTATTTTTCACTTATTTGCTCTTGGAGTTATCTTTAATTTTGGGAACCACTTTTAAGCAATTAGGTGACACGATCAGAAAGTTAATCCTGTGGTAACATCTAAGAAGGAATAGAAAGGAGGAAGACAGGGAGGACAGGGAAAAGGGAGGTCTCAAACACAAAAATAATCCCAGTGTCCTGAGGTTGGGTAACTCAGGCAGAAACACAGAACACAAGAAGATTAGGTTTGGGAGGGGAGGAAAACCACTGTACCTGAGAGGCCGGCAGGCCACCTGACAGGGAGGGACTGGGGGGTGTGAAGCTAAATAAAGCTCTGGAGACAAAATACACCTGGCAAACTCCCTCTTGAGGGAACAGCTACAGGATGAGACCAGAAAAAAACAGTGAAACAAGCAGAGACCAACAAAATGTTCTCTGAGGACCTCACAAATGGAACAAGCCAATGGCTCCCTAACAGTGTTTTTCAACTCAACACTTTAGATGCCTGATGCTGGGACCACCTAGGTGGTTACTCTGCCCCTCCCATGCTCATGTGTGTGCACGTGTGCATGGCCTCTCTCTCTCTCTCAAAACGAATAAATAAACTTAAAAAAAAATTTTTTTAAAGCCCCATGCTAAGATCCCACACCCCAGAGAGAATCCTGCTGGCCCCAGGGAGGTAGTCGCACACCTACACAGAGTGGGTCGTTTCTTTTTTATTTTTTTTAATTTATTTTAGAGAGAGAGAGAGAGAGCATGTGAGCAGAGGAGGGGGGTGGCGGGGGAGGGACAGAGAGAGAGAGAGAGAGAGAGAGAGAGAGAGAGAGAGAATCCCAAGCAGACTCCATGCTTGGCATGGAGCCTGATGGGGGCTCGAGTCCACGACCCTGGGATCATGACCTGAGCCAAAATCAAGAGACAGTAGCTCAACCGATTGAGCTACCCAGGCACCCCCGCTTTTTTTTTTTCTTTCCCACAGTGGGTCATTTCTTAAAATCTATTTTTAAATCTGTTTCAAATAATTTTAAGGCATCCGCTAAATGTACTTCTTACTGAGCCTTTAGGAAAGGCAACGTCTGGAATGCAACATTCAGAGTTACTTCACCGAGGCATGATGAGATGCAATCTCGAACGCATATTCCTCTGCCAGTTTTATTTCAGAGCATATACCTCAGATTCATATCGGCTTTCCCTATAACTATTAACCATAAAAGGAGGGGGAGGAACCTTCCTTTCTAAATCTGTGATTACATAAATACTTTAAATTATAAATATCTAACATAATTTTAAAACCAAATTAAACCAAACCAGAGGTTAAATTTTGTTAGGTTTCATACCATAATGAAATCAGTAATTACAAAAAAAATAAAACTCTGGATAAATACGTAAATAAATACACTCACACATACACACCATTTTAAAAATCTAAAACCAAGAATGGAAACTTTTGCAGGTAATCATTAACATAATTCAGTTAACATCAGGTAAACTACAAGAGGGGCCAGGGTCTTTGATGAGGAAAGAACCAATATTCCAGATACTCAAGATAACCATTAAATTTGTAAATAAAATCGGATTAAAAATAAGATAGCCATTGAAAACAGATTTTGATTTTCGTTTTCATCATTTCAAGCTGCTTCAAAATGACTGCCCCCTCTTCTATAAAATTCAAAAGAAAGATATTCAAGGATCTTTCACCTCTCCAATGTTCATACCTCATCACAATCCCCTCCCCTCCGACCTTCTTTAAGCAAAGCTGAAAAATGGAAAGTACGAAATCATTCAAGTTTCACACTGTTTCCACAAATGCATTCACAACAAGCCAGAGATAGCCAAAAGGCAAAATGCAGCTATATGAGGAATTGCTAATCAGATAGCCTCTAAATAACACATCCTGAGTATGTGGCAATGTTTTTCTTATTTGTCTGTGGGCTTCATATCCCCGGGTGGGGAGGAGCCCATGCTGGGTCACAAAGACTATTGATGCTTACCTTTTTGGCTCTTTGGGCTATGTCTGGTGTTCTTGTAAGCAGCTTTTCAATCAGGTACTCTCTGTTCTGCAAAATAAATATTCCCAACAGTTTAACACCAAATATCACACATAGAAATTCATAGTGATTTCAAAATAGCAGATTTACGTGGGGTTTTAAGCATGTTACCTTGGCTTTCTGGAAGAATTTGCATTTTAAAAGTTCTGCTGCTGTGGGCCTGAAAGATCAATAATAAATTAAAGTTGAAACAATGACCACTCAATAAATACACTGCCGTGATGAAACAACTGAATCCCAGAATGTTTCTGGAAAACCAGTTTCAGGAATAGCAAAACCAGAAAACAAATTAATCATAAGCTGGCACCAAATCAAACAGTGCCGATTTTCCAGTTCTTTCCACTCTACTGCAAAACACATAAATTGCTGTAAGTTAAATATTTAGGACACGATCAATTTTCCATCCTTCATCCTTACACTTCAACTAAGTGAATTCAGTGTTTCTTAAAGGTGGCAGACTGACACATCTGTGAGCTAAATTCCTATATTTATTAAGAAGCCGTGCAAGCTGCAATATGATCCTGTCAAAGAAACTATAGTCTACAGTGTCCTAGGATTTCCCAAGAGCAGCAGTTACCACAAGGGGCCCGCAACATGTGGACAAGCTCTCTCTGCCCACCAAGTGCAGTGCACATGCCCTAGTGGCTCTGGGGGGTAAGGTAAATGTGAGGGTGATTCATAAAATGCAAATTCATTTAAAAGCAATACTGGATTGGTCTGGCTCCTCATGGTGTCATTTAACTTGCTTCTCTATCCTGTACTTCCTATAAACTAAAAGTTAAATCTAAAAACTTGACTATATTGCATCAAGCATTTAGGGGAAGAATCCTTCACAGATGACACCATGCACTTCTCCCCACGGCACATCAGAGGTACCTGATGTTAGGTTAACTCACTGGGAGTGATGCTAAGTTTAACCAACGACCCCCGGGCCTGAGACCTCTCCACTGTCAAGGTATGTTTTCACCAGGGCAATTGGCAAGCATTCTGTTGGGTAATACTTCGTTCGGCATTGTAGGAATTTTCTGTTCCCCTAACAATTTCAGCATCTTTGTCTTAAATGATTATTTCCTAACAGGTGGCAGAATGCTGATTTCCTACTTCTATCATTCCTTCTACCTTTATTAAATGGCATTCTTCCATAAAGAATAGCTTTCTTCCAAAATAGTTCCTTCTAAAACACGCAGCCAAGCAGACAGAATCAGATAAATCCAGAGTATGAGACAATCAGCCAACTAGCCTGATCTCTTCAAAAAGTCAGTGTCATAAGTGGAAAAGGAGAGAAGGGAGGGGACTGTTCCACATTAAAAGGGACTTAAAGAAACAAAACCAAATGCCACAGGAGACCCTTGCCTAAATCCTGTGTTTGAAGGGGAAGGGAGAGAAACAACAAAAGACATTTGGAAATAATTAGAGACTATGTGAATAGGCTAGATCATTAAGATGATTTTAGGGAATTATTGGTCATTTTCTTGGGTGTGGAAAAGTATTGTGGCTATGAAGGAACACATTTTTATTTGCAGGGAATGCAAGCTGAACTATTAAAGTCTGTTACTCACTTTCAAACTGTTCAGCAAATAAAATGTACATAAATACACACATCAGATACAGAAAATATTCGTGACTACTGCTTCCAGGTGGTGTTATAGAAGCAAACACTGTACTATTTTTTTTCACCTTTGTGTATTTAAAATTTTTCATAAAAAAAAAAAAA